GAGTGTTGCGCAAGGATGGCCGCCTGCTCGAGGTCACTGTTGGACGGTTCCCGTCGGGTTGCCGTGGACACGAGCCTGAGCTGCACATCGGGAGGGAACGGGAGCCTCCAGAGGTAAGGAGTTTCCTCAGAGTCAAAGTAGACACCCCATTCCAGCCTTGGCGCGTCAGTGGCTCCGAAGAAGGATGGGTTCTGGGGGACGATCTCAGCCAGGTGAGTTGGGCGTGGCAGAGGCTGGCAGCCAGATCAGCAAAGGCATCGATGTGGGATCCTCAATGCGGTGTTGATCCGGATTCTTCCTCCTTTGGACTTCGTGAGGGCGAGCTGGAGGGCTGAAGAGTCCAGCGGAACCCGGATGGCAACAGAGACGAAGCGCAGCTTGCCGAGGATTTGCATCCAACGCTTGTGGCTGACCCTGCGACACCGGCTAGTTCCTTGAAGATGTCAGTGAGCGCTTGCTTCCGGTGGGGAGGAGTTCCAGAGTCTGTCGCAGGGTGTCAATGATCCATCCCAGGATGAGCTTTCGAGTCGCCCAGCTTCCATCACCTTGCAGGAGTTTCTTGAGCGAGACTGCCTCATTGCGGTGTTTCTCGCTGAGGTTTGGGCGTGCGAGGATCTCGTCGATGGCATGGAGCAAGTGCCTGCTAGCGCTTTCATACGGTCTTTCTCCCTGGCTAGTTGGATGAATCGTCACGAACACTCATTCCGCCCGATGGGCTGGAGCAGAGTCTGTTCGAGGGTCCGCAAGTGCCGGCTCGGCCTTCAAGGGGGAGGTGGCTATCCAGGAGTTCCTGCGTCCGCAAGGTCCTCCTTTTCTCGGGCTTGGAGTGGTGGACGGGTCCAGGTCATCCATTCCTCGGCTGATGCTCAAGCCTGTGTGGAGGACAGGCTCTGGGGGACTTCAGGAAGCGTTCATTTGCTCGTCCAGGTAGTCTCCGACATGACACTGAAAGTGGCGGCGTCGACCCATCCATGGTCACGACATGAGCGCTCTCCAGAGGAGGTGGTGGGGGGGTTGGACATGTACGGTGAGATTAGTGTATGATGTGGGAGAGAGTAGGATTGGGGTTTGGGGTATGATTCGAGGCCATTCACTCAGTGCGAAGTGTCGGAGGTCAGTGTGAGTGGTGTGGAACTATGGCTGTGTTGTAGGAGCTGTAGCCTCTTGTGCTGTCTGCTGAGGCGGACGGTCCAAACTTGGGTTTGGTGACGACAGTTCGATGCGCGGCAGGGCTTCCATTGATGCTGTAGGTGCGAGGTTCGACGGAGGGCATACAGTGGGTAGTGTGATGTTCGTTGTACACACGAGAGGATTGCGAGTATGGACACCAGAACTTGTTCTCTGAACTCGGAAAATTCTCACGGAGGAAGTCATGCTCGGTAGCAGATTTGGCAGCCCGGCGGACATTCCTCCTTCTGTTCCGGTCCAGGGAGTGATTCTTTTGTACGGGACCCCATGTCTCTCCAGTGGCAGAGAGGGGTGGCAGGATGTCGAAATCTCCAGGTTCGGAGCAAGGTAAGAGCGCCCTCTGAAGTCGGTGACAAAGGACTTCCCACGTCTCTGCCTTCGATAGGCTGAGCAAAGGTTTTGACTAACGTACCTAGTCTGTCATTTCGGATTGATCTGGTATCAACGGCGGGCTAGTAGTTTTAGTGATGTTTGATGTAGAGGATGGAGGCGGTCGGCGTTTCCTAGGTGATCCGGGCAGTAGCCAGCCGACCGCTTTGATGATGGAGACATTAACAGCGAGGCTGCATGTGAGAGCGGTGTGAATTGAAGGGTAGAAAGTTTTGTGAAGGTTTGCGAGCAGGAGTGCTCCTGTTAGTCCTTGGAGGTTTCACAGGGAGACAGCAGCGATGCAGAAGGCGGAGACTCGAACCTGGAGGCGATGGAGCACGTAAGCCGCAAGCGAGTCAGGCGACACCGGTCAGCAACTCCACAGTCCGTGGAGGAGAAGTGTGGAGCTTCTGCACCGTAGCCGCGAGAGAGCGTTGTGGGTGGCATGCGCTTGATCCGGGAGTAGCAACTGCCCTTGTGGCCAGGCCATATAACGTCCTGTACCACCGTCTTGGGGAATGGTGTACTGATGGTCCTTGGTCATTTCCGTGATGGAGCGGAATCCGAGTCCGAAACGCTTCAAGAGGTCCTCATCGCCTGGACGTTGGTGACTGGGGTGCTCCCGCTCGCTGTTGGTTCGTTCCGGCAGGCTTCTTGCTGGCGCTCGGGAGCGGGCTTGAAGAAGAGTACCAGTGCGCAGGGAGCTCAGCGAGGACGAGGCACGGGAGGACTGAACGAGTCTAGTCAGCGACCAAATTGGGGGCAGCAGCGCCGGGTTTAGGATAGCCTCATTGACCCACAGGAAGTAATCTTGTTGGATCTCAAAAAGGATGCGACCCACAAGTCCACCGCCACACCGGTTGTCAGCATGCAGGCCATGGATGGTGTGGAGTAGGATCCCAGCGAGAGGCCACATCACGCACCGAGCTGAGACGGGATGGTTTCCTCCATGGAAGACGTCTATCAATGATGAGAAACCATAGAGCTTTTCCTCCGCAATGCGACCATCGGTGGGAAACTTGACATCGGTGGAAGTGATGGCAATGGTATCTTCCAAGGTGACCGAGGCTCCCTTCTCAACGTACTCCGCTTGAGCAGCCAAGTCCTGGACCGCCTTTGCTTCCGAATGGCCTTGGCATACACCGAGAAGGGGGAGAGGCCCTCGCCCAAGGTTGTCCCTTGACCGTTCACAAGTACTTGCGGAAGACACGAACCAGAATGTGTCCAGTGACCAAGGGTTTGTTCGCGAGGTTGATGGGTAGTGCCGAAGCCTGAGTGCGTTCGTCTAGTTGGGCTTGCAAATTCCGTGTTCATTCCCTTTGGGACTTCGCGAGAGACGGTGAATGACGGGGGTTTGCGTCATCGGCAAAGTTGCAGAGGTTGTGGACACGAGTGGCAAGTGCGACCCGAATTTATCCTGAAGGTTTTGTTGCTCTTCTCAGGTCATACTGGGTTGTTGTTCGACGGTGCTTCCAGCGTATCACGTAGTTCGTGATTCCCGCTTGAGGTTGCTGCCTTGGTCAGGCCCGGACCTACCGCGCCAAGCGCCGCCAGTAGGGGGAGTACCGGTTGTGCTCGTTGGAGCGCGTTTGCGTGATGGGCGCGGCCACGTAGCAGCAGCATTACTAGTGGAGTGTGACCCCCCGCGACCAACGTGCAACAGGCGCGGAACCATTGGACCAAAGGGGCATGGCAGCCTGTCGTGCAGGATCCGCGTGAGTCATCTCAGGGGTAAGGACTTCCGCACGGAACTGGGGAAGACTGTACTGTCCTTCGGGACGGGCCACAAGACGGCTTCAGAGAGATAGGACGGAAGAGGCATCACACGACGGACTCGGAAGACATCAGTGTCCGCGACACCGCCGCCGTGGGGGCCACTGTGTAGCACAGGAGCCGGCACGGCGGTAACATCGTTCCTCCGTCAATAACAGTCATGTTGTGGCAGGTTACGTCAGCCGTGCGCTCGAACGCTGACATAGGAAGGACTACCGTGATAGCGCTTCGAAGGTCGTTCCCCACCACAATAGCGTAGAGATTGTCGTAAGGAGAGACCTGGCTAGGATTCACGGGGTAAGCGTAGAGAATGTCCAATGTAGATATCGTTTCGTCATTCTGGAGACGAAGCCAAAGGTGACAGGTGAACGAAGGCAAAATTGGCTCATAGCGCGAGAGGCAGCATCACGATTCGCATTCGAGGCGCCAGCCACAGAAGTGAGGATATCAGTGTAGTTAGGAGCATGTACTTCCCATGCCGCTCACGAGAGACGAGATCCGAGATCCGAGAAATTAGAGCTGGCCATGGTGAGGGTCGAAAAGATACGAAACCTGATGCCGGCGCAAGAGATTAATCTAATCTTGGTTTTGCCTTCAGCGTCGGCTGAATGAAGAATTGTGAGCTGAGAGAAGACAACCTTCTTGCGATCGCAGTTCAATGGCTGTCTTGGCTAGGTCGCTGGCTTTAGTGATTCATGGTTGCCGCTGTCGATCTTGCCAAAGTGGTCTTGGACGGGCGTCGTTGCCTTAAGGGTAATCTTGTTCGGAGGCATTGAGGAGCTGATGCGTGCATCATCATGTGGGGTACACATTTCGGAACCAGGGATGACCTGGAGATGTAGAGATGTTACTTGAGTTGTAGGTGAGGAGCGGGGAATTAATTTTGCAAATTGTGAGATGGTCCTCTCGGCAACCATGATTAGGGTCATAGTTGCGAGAACCATCAGGGTTCAAGTTTCCACGCTGCGGGGCGTGGAAACTCGGACGGGGGGTTCCCCAGGCGTGTTGCTGCTCAACACAGACATGCATCGTCACTGGTACCGTCTGGCCCCCCCTCCTTCTTCTTTTTTCTTCTTGTGGCCAACGAGGTCTTGGCCACACCTTATCATTTCGAAGCTTCATCGATGGAAGATTGATTCGATTGAATGAATCGATTGATGAATCGAATCGATTTGACGCATCACTCGAAGTCTTCGCTTCATTTTTTCCATGAATGAATCGATGATGAATCGAATCGATTTGACGCATCACTCGAAGTCTTCGCTTCATTTCCCCCCCCGGGCAACCTACTAGCTATAGTAGCTACCGGTAGCAACCCCCCACCACAGTCGCGTTGTCCCCTCTAACCCATACCGTACTACCAGCGCCAAAACAGGTCAACTTTACCTGTTGCAAAGAGTGAAAACTTTAATTCTTTTATTGAATCTCTTAACTCTTGGTCTGAAAATGTGAGCTCTGAGTCGTGCTTAAAAGATCGTGATTCAGATGTCAAATCCAATCCCAACGTCTGTCCTCGACTTTTGAGTAGGCTCAGTACATTTTCTACACAACTTTACCTGTCTTATTTTACTTTACCTGTTTTGGCGCTGGTAGCGTAGTAACGTAGCAACTTCCCGTTGCAACAGCTCCCTGACCGACCTCCTAGTCTATTGTCACTGGTCACTGAACCCATGGCCTCCTCTCTGTCAAGTCCTGATCTCATCAGTGACGATGCAACTGTGACGACGGCAGCCAGCAGTGCTACCGGTTGTAGTAGTGACGGCAACAATTATCAGAAGAGGCGGGCAGCCAGTGTCCATCATATTGCCACCGAGTTTCTGGATCAGGTTATCTCGACGCCTGGGCTGAGCCATACATCTACCATCTACGAGATTGAGAATCTGCAGGGTCCTCCTGGTTTGATACGACAACGAGGACTGGATGTGGTTTGCCCCGTCGATGGACAAAAAGGAGCTGCCTATGTGGATTGTCTAGAGGGAGAGGATCATGTAGGGGAGGCTACACATATGCTGAGTTATGCCTGGTCTTACAGCATTGGCGACATTGTGGATACGCTAGTACACTACTGTACTTCCACCGGGAAAGACCCAAGGAGAGCCTATGTCTGGATGTGCTGTCTTTGTGTGAATCAACATCGCGTAGTTCTGCAGAAAAAGGAAGATCGGTCTGGAGCCAGAGTGTTGGGGGGATCAGGCAGAATTGATTTCTTTGCAGAATTTGGAATTCAGGTGGAATCCATTGGACATTTGCTTGCCATGATGTCGCCATGGAATGATCCTTTGTTTCTACAACGCATCTGGTGTGTGTTTGAGTTCTTCTATGCCCACTACATGAACTGCGAGGTCACCATTGTCATGCCTCCCAGCCAGAAACAAGTTCTCGAAGAAGACCTCCTTGGGCAGGAAGGCAAGGGTGTGGAGGGATTTTATAACGTGCTCAGTAAGGCACGTATCCAAAACGCAAAAGCAACTGTCTCCTCGGATCGAATTACCATACTCAGCGTTGTGCGGAGGTATACTGGCAATGCAGTCCTCAACCAAGCTGTCAATGATCGCCTTCGGAATTGGATCAGGCGGACAATTGACGAGATTGTTACCGAAAAGGAACGATTGCTCCAAGAATGTAGCAACCGAGTCGATATTGTCCAATTGTTCAACAAAGTTTCCGAAATATTTGGAAAGAACGGAGAACTTGATGCAGCCGTGGCAATGGCGCAACGAAGCCTTGCGATTCTACAGGATCTTGACGACAATCACGACTACATGCTTCGGGCAGAATCGCACAACTGCCTAGGCCTGGCATTCCATGAAAAGGCAGACTATACATCAGCCCTATCGGAGTTCCAAAACGCCCTCGATCTCCAGGGACCATCGGACGGAATTGAGATTGCGACAACCTACTTCAACATTGGCCAAACTTTGTATGCCAAGGGTCTCTTTGACGATGCTTTGGACGAGCTTGAGAAATCTCTTGAGATAAGAGAAACTGTCTTGGGGGGTCAGCACAACGACACTGCCACTTCCTACCTGTCCATTGGGACTGTACTACTCGACAAGGGCCACCATGATGACGCGCTGTCTCATTTCCAGAGAGCTCTGCAAATACGAGAGGCGGCCTTTGGAGCAAATCACTGCTTCTTGGCAGAATGCTACTGCAAAATCGGATCTGTGTACTTGGAGGAATTTGACTATGACGAGGCATTGGCAGAATATCAGAAGGCCTTGTCCATTTACCAATCCGCCTTGGGATTTGACAGTGTTGAAACAGGGCGAACGTATGGTACGGTGGGGTCGGTTCTCTACGCCAAGGGAGACCTCCAAGGGGCGGCAAGAGAACACGAAACGTCGCTCGAAATTCTTCAAACTATATTGGGGGAAGAGCACCCCATGATTGCGGACTGCTACGGAAGAATTGGGGAAGTTCTACATGACATGAAAGACTATGATGGTGCTCTCAATCACTACCAAAAGTCTCTGGCAATACAAGAGCCCTTCCTGGGGAAGGAGCATATTACCACTGCATCAACGTACACTAAGATTGGCTTGATCTATTCTGCCCAAGGCCAGCACGACTTGGCCTTGCAGGAATACCGCAAATCACTAGCCATCCGCGAGGTAGCCGTCGGAAAGGAGCACCCGGACAACGGTACGCTTTTAAACCGCATTGGCAACGAACTGAAGGAGGTTGATGACTTGGAGGGTGCAATAGTCGAATGGCACAAAGCCTTGTCCATTCTAGATGCAAACCATCCGTTCTTTGACATGATCCAGGAGAAAGTCAAGGATGCCAAACAACAATTGCTTGCTTCGTAGGTAGCATCTAGTAACTATTCTCGCCCCCAGCCCAGTGGCTCGCTACACCGATAGTATTAGTCTTGACCTTTCCTCGCCTGCTTGCAGCAGAGGACGCTGCTAAAGGCGGCAGCCCAAGTTTGGCATTCCCAACCAACTTGTGTCTCCATACCATGGCTATTTTGACACCTCGAGACGTCCACATTCGGCAGCAATATAGCATGTCATTTCACTTGCTTTCTTTCATGGGCATGCGTGAAGGTTTACCTTCGCCCCCCGTTAGCAGCTGCCCAGGTTGTTGCTCTAACCCATGGACAGCCATTTCATTGGCATACTTCAGAATTTCCAAATGTCCATTTTCAGCAGGTCCTTTGCATGTTGGTCCATTCCAAGTTCCAAGGAAAGCCATATCATGGCTGGGCATACTTCAGAAGCTTCAAACGTCCTTTTCTGGCAGTCACTTCATATGTCTGCAGTGGTGCAGAATTTTCAGATGCCATATCGAGCAGCTTCTCAGCATGTTTTGGCATCCCAAGGGTAGCCATTTTCGTGTACCGGTACCATACCGGTGTGCTTGGCTCTCTGACAGCTTTCGTATACAGATAGCAATAGCCAGTACTCTAAGCTTCTTTTTGGCGTATTGCTTGGACTGGCCACGGACTAAAGCTGGTGGGAGCTTCCCAGCACCAACTTTTTTTTTTGGAGTGGGTTGACGGGGAAAGTTAGACTACTATGGGTTAGAGAGAGCTAAGATGAGGATGGGCACCAACTTTTCCATTCTCCCTTGGCCTTGATCCGGCCACCAACCAATCTTGTAAAGTGGCCACCTTTGGCGGCGAAATTTTTGTATCCACGAATGAAACCCCAAAAACGGCGTGCCCGCCCTTCAGGAAAGGCACCGGTATGAAGGCAGAGGGCCCCTCTGATCCTTCACCAGGGTCCAGTGCATACAGCGACACAAGAGGTGTGACAATGAGCAAGACGGGTTCAGTCTCTGGCGAATATGACTTCCGTCGGAAGCGGAAAGAGAGGCTTGCCCGATCTTTCCAAGACAAGGCTGGAGACGAGAGATGGGGAGGAAGTGGAACTTTAGGTTTACCACAGGACTTTCAGTACAGCCCGAACAGCCAGCACAAAGCGGAACCACCCTATCGTTCATCCTCCTACATATCCCCTTCTACATTTCCAAAGTCTCAAACTCAAACGTCTAATAGTCAGCAGACATCAACGCTGAGTCAATATCCACAGTTTCATCCCGCTTCACCCCCAAGCTTCAAACTACCCATCGATCCACCAGCCTCCGCTTCGACCCCAAGACGAAAGAATTCTTCTTCGTGTATCCCCGATACTTCCAGTCTGTCCAGGAGGAGCTCTTGCATGCCCTCGGTGGGATCAGTGCTTGGATACGAAGAAAGCGTCAAGAAGTATCCATACGTCGTGCTCAACCACAAGCCAGACAAGGTGGAATGCGTGGAAGGATCCTACCGTGACTGTCCACCCTCCATAGCACCCAGCTTGAGCTCGCTAAGTTTGGGTTTAAATGACGCATCACAATTTTGTGCTACCGGTACAATACCAGCCAGCCCACAGCAACAACAGCCGGATCCTCCGCAACTCGAAAGTCCACAACTACAACGACAACAACGACAACTGCCACCAAGAGATTTGGAGCAGAATACCGGTGGTGATGACTACTATCACTATGTTTGGAACAGTTATTACAATCGGGACGGAGATGAGGAGGACGAGAAAAAAGAAGAGGAGGACGAGAACGAAGAGACTTTTGAGGATGAACCATTCGTATCGAAGAATGAACCAGCCAGTGATTCCATCGAGTTTGGAGTGGCCAAGGGCAACCGTCCCAAGAAGAAAAAGAAGAAAAGTGGGAATCCACCCTTCTGTCTCTTGTGTATCTGCTTGATTTTCCTGTTGTTGATCATTGCTATCATTGTCGTTGCTGTAGTTGGTTACGATGAAGTCCGACAGGCTTTGGGGCTGGCACCCAAAGACGACCCTGTTGCAGCATCAGCAACCAATGACATGGAACAGCTAACGATGCAGAGGCTAACTCCAGGTCCCACACCTGGGCCTGACGGAGGGAAACAGACTCCAGGTCTGACGCTAGCAGCGGGTCCAAGCCAAGATAGTACGCTGGAACCAACAGTGCTGGACTCTCAAAACTCAACAAATGCATCCAACAACATAACTGACCAAACGGATGCAACCGGGGCAAGTAACAAGACTTTGGTGATAGCGCCTACACCATCTGCTCTGTCCAGCCCCAATCCTACGTCGCTCTCTGCAAGTTTTATTACCAGTAACCCTACTCTTCCATCACAAAGCCAGACACAAGAACTCAACGCGGCACAAACACCTATAGCGGACCCCTCCCCAGTACCAACTGACGCCCCAAGAACTCCGCAACCGACTAATGCCCCAAGAACTCCACAACCGACTGATGTTCCAAGAACTCCTCAACCATCTGATGCTCCAAGAACGCCTCAACCAACGACGTTGGCGCCGGCCACTAACGCTCCATCGCCTGTTCCCACTACGCTGGTTCCAGCGGTTTCGCTCCCTGTCACACCACAACCAATACCATTGTCTCCTGGAGTTTGGTGGTCAACACCTTGGCCAGCACCACGTCCTCTCTTTGCAACGACTTCAGCACCTGTGCCGGCACCAGAGCCCCTTTATGCGTCGAGTCACATGACTTTGAGAAATGTGCATGTGTTCCTTTCGGATAGTGTGCATTCGTATGGAGTCGAGCATGTAAGGCCCGAAATCAGGTGGAGAGGTCTGATCTACTACCCATGGACCGGCTTTGGATATCAAGAGATGGCTCGAGGAGCTTGGTACCCCTTGGGAGACTTTGACAATTGGTGTAACCCGCAAGCTGGTTGTTTTGGCCATTCTCTCCTTAATGGCGACATGGAACTCCGACTGAGCATACGTGCAGTCGCCAACGTGGACTCTGCAACTGACTATGGTTGGACTCTGCCGTCGACACTTTGGTTTCATACACAAAACTACGAAACAAGCACGTTGGAGACGAATAATGGTGTATCCTTGAAATGGAGGTTTGACGTTGTAGAATTGTAACGATGTAGCAAAATTCGCCAAGGAATCAACCAGTCAGCTGAAGTGCGGGTGGTGAAGGTTCAGACAGGCGATGAAGATGCCATGACGACTTGGATGACGGGCCCAAGACGATCACTAGGACACGCTGTAGGCAGAAAGCAGACATTCAGATAGGGCACATGTTGCAGTACCTCCCACTTTTCTTCTAGCTAGTCTAAAAGCATTTTGACCTTGATGCCGCGTTAGCATGAGTTTAGTCTTCTTTTTCTCAAAACCACTCTGATCGTTGGACGCTGCCGAAGAATTCGTCCTGGACACTCAATGCAACATCATCCTCACCTGTCAGGTTGACATGGGACGAGAATGCCTGATTCCAGTGGGGCCTGCTTATCTGGAGGAGGAAGTTGGAGTCTCGGCTTAGATAATGCTCAGGCTTCTTGTGCTTCTTTCGAGTGACGAGTCGAGTCAAAGCCACAAAGGGACGACGACACCAGATCCCCTAACAAGCAGATTGTTGCAACAGAGTGCTTCAAATCTCAAAGAAACGCTGACACCAGATCCCATAACAAGCAGATTGTTGCACCAGAGTGCTTCAAATCTCAAAGCGTGGTCATACTGAAAACCCAGGGGACCCCTAGTGGTCATGCCCCAATCAATCGCGCTGGGAAAGCACGAAGCGCTCGAAAAATTGTCTTTCCCACGCTGCTGTGTGCACTGATTTGTGGTCAGTGTCTTGCTCAGTTCAATGCAAACTCTATCGCAACCGGTTCCCGCCTTTCTCGCGTCGTACAACTCATCCATCTGGACCTAGCCTTTCTCCGCCATTGCAGCCACAAGATTGCGGGCAGCGCAACCACTCCAAGTGCAGCGGCATTGAACTTGGGGAAGAATTCGTTACACTTGCATGTTGCTGCATCCGTTGCATTGTGAATGTATTCAACTCCCATCATCCCGGTATCTTCGTGAACAAGGATGTGACAATGCACCATCATTTTCCCCGTGAAAACCGTTGGCCTGAAGCGAACTGTGACCTTCCCGGAAATAGTATCATGCCAGTCGCCTACTTTGTAGTATTCCGCAGAGTCTTTCTTTGACGAAACACCGTCGATCAGCTGGAATGGATGGACATGCTGGTGAAAAGGATGAATACCCGTCTGAATGTGCCTCTCCACGACGGCTCCTTGCACAGTTTCATGGAAGTATTCACCCTCCTTTCTGGGGTAGCGGAGCATGCGGATTCTCGTTGTACAGGAACACCCTGGCGTTACCAATGCAGAACGAAGATCTTGAAGGTATTCGGGAAACTGCATTGAGACGGATCCAGACACAAGTGAATCCATCGACAAATCGTCCAACATGTTGGAATCGTTTTCTTGCGACTCATTTTCAGGTGCTTTTTGTTTTTGCCTCTTTGGTTTTCTACGGACTTCGGGTCGAGGAGGAACCACCGCCGAATCTGTGATGTTATCCCTGTGCTGGACAAGGTTCAAGATGGATAGCCGTCTGTTTTTGCTGAGAAAGCATCGCTGGTTGTTGCTTGCTAGTGAGTATGAATTTACACCTTTGTCAAAGGGGCATCGCACCATGATATCAGCACGTCCTGCGTTTACGAGTTCTGCTTGCTTTATCTTTCTTGGCAATCGAGGGAGATAGACACCATCTTTGGCAATCAGCAGCATTTCACAACCCGGGATTTGCAGCTTGAGATCCCCCTCCAACCAGCCAGCATGAATAATGCGAAGCCGCACCCATTCATTTGGTTGCACCAGCAAAGAAGGCTCCACCTGTCCATTTGTTAGGTAGAATTTCCTGTCAAAGTTGATGCTACTCATGTCGATGATCTCTGGCTTGACAAGCGATACCGTGATGTCTCCTGCCTTTCTACTGATTTTGTCAAGTTCTTTAAAGTTCATTTCTTGAACGACGAGAACAAACTCTCTGGCTGATGAAATGGGATCTGGTAGCAGGTTCTTGATGCCAGCAGTGTCCTCGACGATAATGGCTCCTGCAGCACCACCACCCACCTGTAACGACGTCGAGCCATGTCGACTGAAGGAGTCGAGTCGAATTCATCGCACAATAGGCAAAAGAAAGTTAGGTTTGACGAGGAGAAACTACGAAATGCGATGCATTTCCACGAGCATCCAGCCTTACTGAGGGTGTAGGAAGTGAATACCAGGCATGTGGTCTTTAGGAAGTTTTGTAATGTATCGATAGCGCTGCCCCGGTGCCACGGACATGGTTACGTCGTCCGACGGTAGTTCCCCCGATACATGCAGACCGTGAAAATGCAGATTGCTCTCATCCGGGGCGGAGTATTCATTGTGTCGGTATTCTGAATCAGTTCCGGGTTGCAATGCATTGTAGAAGTCGATGATGAGAGTGTCCCCGGGATGCAGTCGCAGAGTAGGTCCTGGAATGGTTCCATTCAAGGCTCGTGTCGTGAAGTTTGCTCCTGCGATCGAATGTGTTGCAGTTCGAAGGTAAATTGACGTGTGGAGAGTCCCATTGACGGACGACACTGAGGCCGGTTCAGTCAACCAAGTGATGCTACCTTTCGACATGGTCAATCCCAAGATTCTTCAAGAACAGTGACAAGACAAACAGAGACAGCAGCCAGCGCCGCTCGATGCTTCCTGGAGAAGGAAAGAAAAAAGAAAGACAGGGAGGAAACAAGAACAACAACGAGGAAATTGTTGGAATTTTCGCAATCAACCGTCAGGCTTCAACGAATGATCGTCCCAAACCACTTCCAGTATCCACGACTGGAGTCGCTACTGTACTGGTACCTTCTTCGCTGTCACGCTGCTGCAATCAAGGACTTGACGGGGGTGCAGACGGAGAGGTTGGTCTACCGAATGATTTGATTGATGCTGACGAGAGCACGACACTTGGGATCAAAGCTTCCATCCTTGCACGGGATCAGATGGACTGTCTACATAGATCTAACTGCCTTAATCTTTATTTGTACTGGTAATTCTAAGCCTCTGGGCAAGCGCAATCACAGCCACACAGGGACTCAGAGCAATCAAAGCTAAGATGATTGATCCCACACATATCCTGTGGAATAGTTCCAGTAATGGAGGTTCCTAGAAACATAGAGGGATGAGCATGTGACGGTCAAAAGGCAGCAGACTGCTGAACATGACCACATAGGTTGCTTCTTACCACCGATTCTAAAAGAAAAAAGTGTCCTGTTCAATGATATAAACTCAATGGGGATAGTCCCAATCAATCCTGGGTTTCCTTGCACATTGATTGTCTAAAAGAGCAGATCCAAGAGGCAACAAGCTGTTGAGATTCAAGAGTCTTATGCAAGCACGAATGGATCCTCATAGGAGCATACCTGTAGGCCAGTTAGCACCCCCAACTCTGAAGGCAAAGCACCAGAAAGATTACTTTCCTGTCCAAGCAAACGTTCCAGGCTTGCACACCCACCAAGCTCTGTGGGAAGGCTACCAGAGAGTTCAGTGTTATGGAACCCAAGTTGCGTCATTGCAGTCAAGAGGCCAATTGAAGGCGGTAAGGTTCCACCAAATGGACTTCTGGTCAAGTCTAGTTGATTTAGCCGTGGCAAGCGAAAGCCAATATCACTGGGAAGTGATCCCATAAGACGAGTGGTACTAAGTCGAAGCTTTCTCAGGTTGGATAACATGAAGAGTTCTTGGGGTACCGACCCTGAATACGCAAACAAACAAAAAAGTGAGAAATTCCAGTTGTATCCATCGCTGGAGCCACAAATGGTACACAACAGACCTGTAAGTTCAGTCTCAATTAGTGAAAGATCTTCTAGTGAGTTTGAGAGGACACCAATTTCAGATGGAACTGTTCCTTGTAACTATTTATTGCAGAGAAAGTGTGAGTATCAAATTGTAGGTGGAAGAGATGAACATGAACATGCTGGCACTCACTTGATTTCGGAACAATGAGAACACCCGAAGATTTGGCAGGGCAAAGATCTCTGTTGGGATTTTGCCACCAATGGAGTTTCGAGATATGTCAAGAACTTCTAAGGATGTTAGCAACCCCAGCTCCCCAGGCAGCGAACCCTGAAGCTTGTTTTGCACGACACCAAGGAACGTCAAAATATTGTTTCCTCCACAAGCCTCATGTCCTCTAATGGTTGCCGTTGAGAACCAGTCACACTCTGAGCTTGAATTGCTGTACGACAGCCATCTCTCTGACGTAATGTTTATCCAAGTGATGCCAGGTTGACTTGATGTACCTTGTTGAAGCACTCTGGGTAATACGTCCTGCATGATTTGCCGTGTGCGTAACATTCTGCCCCCACCTTGTCCACCATTGTTGCTGTTCCCTCCTGGCAGCCTACTACGGGTGCTGTTTCCTCCTGGCGGCCTGCCACCAGTGCCGTACTCTCGTTGGGGACTACCTCCATTGCTGTTCCCACCTGGCGGCCTATCCCCATTGTCTTCTGCCGCAATGTTAACCGTGCCTCCACCCTGATGTATCCATTCTTCGCCCATTGTGGAAAAGTAGAATACTGCCATGACAAATCGCTGCAGAAGTCTTTCCTCCGAATAGGTTTGTCGGTATGGATCTTCGAGAACCCATAGGTATGCTTTTGATACTGCCGTCTCATTGCCAAAGGGGTCCCGCATCAACACATGCAGAGTGGTGTTGGAGATTGGAAAAGGCAAGTCCCAGGTCCAAACAGAATTATCAGCAGGGGTTGGTGCCGATGTTGTTGGGACTGGGGCGGCGACTGTTTCCTTTTGTCGGTTCCGCGTCCCAATCACCGTACCAACAATAATGGCAGCAACGCTAATTGCCGTGATCAGAAACACAATGAATATTTTTTTCTGTCGTTTCTTGTTTCGTTGTCTTTCCTGAACCCTGGCAGTATCCACCGGATTGGCGTTGGGCCTGATTAGGTCTCCACTGGGATCATCAAGAACAAGACTGGCAACTGCCAGGTGCCGACCGCTGATTGTAGTACTAGTAGTAACATTGTAGTTGGAATTGTTGTTGTTGTTGTGACTTTGTGCTGTGAATGAATCGGTGCTTGGATCCGTCATATTCGTGAGTGGCTCCCCGTAGTTCCCCACAAGAGAGAAACGAAGCGTAGTAGCTCGTTGCAGTGCTTCCCCCGGAGCACCCCCATAGGCTCCTGGTCTGGTTGGCTGTTGCTGTTGTTGTCTCTGCTGAGAGGGTGGGTTTGCTACTGTGGTGTCTGGTTCTCTTTGACTACTCGGCATCTGTGTTGCTGTGTTTCGCAAGGTCTGTGCTGCTGTGTCTCGTTTGTTTCCATCTCGAAAGAATTCCAATGCACGAGGGGGCGACGCAGGTCTAGGATTTCTTGCCACCTTTGCGGCAAATTTTTCTGTTGCGGCAGCTTCGTTAATGTCAATCGCCATTTGAATGAGTGAGGCCTGGGTTGATGAGTCTGTTACTTCGCTTGAGGTCGGCGCATATATTGGATTTCTTGCCACCTTGGCGCAGTTTTCCATTTTGGCAACCTCATTAATGTCAATTGCCATCCGAATGAGCTCGTCGTGGTTTCCATGTTTTTGCTCAAAGTTGTCTCGTTCTGACTGTTCTGCCTCGGCCAAACCGGCTTGCTCGGCGACGATTCTCACGGTTTCTAGCGTTTCACTGGTGGCCTGCTGTTGCTGCGTGTTCAATCCATTGATCCGCGTGGCGGCTGGCATCTTCTTGTCTCTGCTGTTGGTTTTCATCTTGTCGCCGCGATTCTGTCCAGCTTCCAGTTCGGCTCTCGTGTTTCCATCAAGTTCCTCTCGTTGCCTGGAGTTGGCACTATCGTTTCCATCGCCACCATCAACTCTCACTTGCTTCGAATTTTGTTCTCTTCCTTCCATGCTGCCTAACGTCGATGTTTCAATTATCAAAATATGAAAGAGCTTACTATGCGGTTCGAGGGGAATATGGGGGGGAATGGATGATATGAAATGCACCGCACCATTCTTATTCTGTTGCTTGCTGTGACGCCGTGACCAATCCTTCTTGGCTTCATGGTGGATGGAAACTTCTGTGTGATTTAGAGGGAGCGATGACCCAAATACTCCCCAAGCATTTTCTATTCTACCTGGTGGTACTGGCATACGTTTCCACGCCTTGCTACGTACAAACACGTAGCGCACGCAGGGTTGAAATATCGGGCGTGATTGAATCGACCAACATTCATACCGGTATGGTACGACTGTACACGCAGGGCTTACTACGGTACAGTACCTACATTGCACTACTAGTACGGAATCAAATCGAAAGATTGAATCGAATAATTCTAATCGAATGATTCGATTCAATCATCGCAAATTTCTGCTGGCTTGAAAAAGACAGCTTCCCTCCCCACAAAAAGCTCGCTGCCGCACCACTTCATTTCCAACTCCACGACAAGAGGATAGACACATACATGTTGTTGTTATAATAATAGAGTAGAGGTGATCGTCACCACCCAGAGATCGAAAAAGAGGTGTGACCGAAGCGATAGCTCTGAAATAGCAACAAAAATTGGCTGAAAATGGTTTCGTGTCGCCGGAGACTTGTTGCTGTTCGTTTTGCCATGGGCACCTACCGGTAGTAGTTTCCTTTAGAACGAAAGGAGTCGTTGGATGTTGTTCGAAAGCCTTGATATTACTGTATCCACACTGTTCTCCTCATGACCACCTTCAGTTCGCTCCACGTTCTTCATCTCTGCTGCCAGTGGCTGAAATGAGTACGTACTTTCTCCTGTCGCCGGAGTTGGTTGAGCATGTTGCCGTCGTATCATCATGGTCGCCTTGCAATCCGGAGATCCAACAGCACTAGCTAGGTGAGATCTCATTGATTGTGCAACTGAAAGGCAGTGATCTTGGCTCTTTCCTGCCACGTCTTCAGTAAACACCGGTGGTAGCTTGTTGGTTCGTTGGTTGGTGTGCATAGCTGCCAATGGTCGATAGTTAGTCGTGTTGCCGTCATGGTCGTCTTGCAATCCAACAGCTCTGCGACCCCCAAAAGTAGCAGCAGTTGAAGCATTGTTGAAGAAGCAGTTATTAGCGAGGATAATTGTAGCAGCAGGAAGAAGTGGACATGGATTCCATTCTAAAGGAGAAGGTTGTTCACAGATCCAACTGGACGCTGGCTTGGGCCTCCGAGGAAGCCATCATCATATCATCATGGTCAATCCATCGCCTCGCACAAAGCAGCCGCTAGCTGGAACAAGAGGAGCTGGTGAATTAGTACTACATGTACCAGTACTAGTAGTAGCTGCTCTAGCTAGAGAGGAGCACGGTAGCCGCTGTAAGTATTTAGCTCATACAGTCAAAATTCCACTTGCTCGGCATTGGATATCGATAGAGTAGGGTATGGAGGGCTCCGAACAAGTGTTGCTTTGGTTGATACTGGTATCACTGTATCACTACTTGTTGTTGTTGGTGGTGGTGTGGCCGAAGATTACAGCAACACACTCTCACTTAAGAGAATTGAGATACAAAACAGCATTGCTCATCCTTTAAAGTTGCTACCAGTATGTGCAAAACAAAACTACAAAATCTTGACAGGCATACATGAAATACTAGCTTCGCGTAACGACATGGTAATTCTATCAGAAGGAAGGGATTGCAATGGCTGCGAGGATAGATGTATGGCTGTACTTGGCTGCTGTATGAGTGCTGTATGCTACAGTTAGGCACAATGTATGGATCCACTTTAAAGAATTATGAGTCTCCTTTTAAAGTTTAATTGTGCGTATCAAAATAGAAACCCGAATTCAATAATGTTATAGTGTAGAAAATGAAATACCGAATGGCTTAAAAGTCCTGTGTTGGCAAAAACCTTTAAAGTGAGAATGTGTTGTCTGTATTGCTTTGAGTCTTTTTCGCGGGATGGTGTATTGGTGGTGCGGAGGTGTCAGGTGTCAGTTCAAACCAGAAGTTTTAAGCCAGCCCTAAGCTGTTATGTACACAACTCTTTTATCACGAGAGATCGAGTGAAATATGAACAACCAATCCCCGTAAAAAATCTACACAACAGCTGCTGCTAAAGGTGTGTTGTAATCCATTCAGCGCCCACCGATGAGACTACTAGTACAAGATGTACGTCTAATAGTAGTAGCAAGAGGTTGCAAATGAGCAAGGGCAAATTTGCGAACGGCCTGTTATCTTTCTGCAACATTGCAGAATGAGCGACAAATCATCGATTCAGCTGCTTCAGCCCGATTTGTCGCTGCCCGCTGGGCAAATAGCCCCTCTTGCTTACACTATTAGCAGTAGATAAATGTATACTTGTAGGGCCATTCGAGTGCAATACACGGCTCTTAGCCTTATTCGCGACTCGATCCTAGATAGGGTTTGAGTTCGACTCATGACTGAGTCTCTCATGAATAGTCATTTGAGACAGGGTTCTCAATGACCGCCTAGTCATACTAGGTTACACTAGGTATCAACGCAGCCTCGCTGATAGATATTTAGCTAGCGTGGAGATTCTCCATGCGACTTCCACGCTACTAGTAGATTACTAGAGCTAGAGTTTCCATGTGTTCCGAGTTACACCGTGGTCTGCGTAGGATGCCTACAAACACCTACGCTATTCCAACTCCTACCTGATTGCCGGGTGCCCATGGGAGTAAACTGTATCCATGGCCTCGAAGATCTCTCTTGTCGATTAGTTTTCATAGCTTTCTAATCTCTCTCATAACTTTCATTCTCTCAAACTCAAAACACTTGAAAGATCTTTACACTAGCTTTTAGCGTAGTGCATTTTGTTAACAAACATATTAGCTTTCAGCTACCTTCAATCTATTCTTCACCATGAAGATTGCCAAACACGCGTTCGACAACTTCGAGAAAAAGTTGCGCGACAAATCAATCCTTCCTCTCATTGACAATGACGAAGAAGCCGAGATCGATGATTCTTGCGCTACCACTTACAAACTGCGCACTATTCCAACAGATGTTGATAGTGCCAAGTATACCTTCAAGGTCCAAGTCATCAATGGCTCCGAGACTCCACGCCAAACCATCAAGTGAGCTGTGCATATGGAGAAGGTCTTCGTTGGACTCAACATCGCTGGAGCCAACGACAAACATAATCTCCTCAAGGAGATGACTTCGAGCTCTGCCAAGAGCGCCTACGAAGCTGGCTGTGCAGGACATCGTACCATGCGATGGAATACCCTTCGCCAAGTTGCAGTCAATGCAATTCCTCCACGCGACGTAACTTCTGGAGAAACCGAACCTGCATTCCAGGCACGTGTTCAGACTGCATGGAACGGAGCAGCAGAACCTGCTCTAAACAGCGACGACATCACTGTGGGAATCAATTCCTGCATTGAAGCTGTCTGTCCCTACAAAGCTCTTGAAAAGCAGAAACGCTTCATGCACCGTAAGATGCGTAAGCCTAGCGAGATGGGCACTCGCGCTTATGTCAACAACCTCACTCGGATGCACAACGATGAACTTCCTCGTCTACCACCTTTTGGACCCAACCAAGGTGTGAACCAAGATGAATTCATTGATATTATCTGTCA